CACAAATCCCAAAAAACAATTAACTTAATAATAACTAACCCTAAACCCTAACACATACATAAATAACAATACACTTAAAATAAAATTCAGTAAAATAAAAAATTCAGTAACTTAATTCACTTAAAAATAACACTTAAAATAAAATAAAATCCCTAAATTCAGTACAAATTCAGTAACAATTAAATTAATAACTTGGTAAACCATTACAAATTCAGTACTAATATTATGTTCTTATTCACTTAAAAAATCAGTACATGCACAATGATAAATTACTAATTATAAAATTACATAACAAAATTAGTACATAACAAAACCCCTAACAAAATTAGTACATAACAAAATTAGTACATAACAAAATTAGTACATAACAAAATTACTAATTATAAATTAAATTTCATATAGATCTAATCAAAACCCCTAAATAAAAAACCCTAAATCAAAACCCCTAATCAAAACCCCAAAATCAAACCCCCAATATCAAAAACCCCAAAATCAAACCCCCAAAATCAACCTAACATCTAACCCCAATATATAAAACAACAAATACATACATACATAGACAATGTAGAAGAATAGGAAAAGATGATACAAATTTATAAAATGGAGAAGATGAGGAAGTAGAACATGAAGTTGAAGATCAAGAAGGGGAGATTATTACCTTGGGGAGAAGTTACAAACGCCCTTGGGGAGAACTTTCGACACCTTGGGAGAAGTTTGGGAGAGTTTGGGAGAGTGTGGAGAAGGAGGAAACCGTTGGGAGAAATGAGAAAAGTCTGAAATTTTTTTACTTATATAAAAAATTTCCGGCGAAACACTTAAGTTCGAGTTGACTAAGTTTGACTGTACGGGGGACCACGGCGGCGCAAGTTGTAATTTTAGGGTTTCCAAAAAATCCTGGCGGCCAGGCCGCCGGCTACTGAAAAAAATAAGCGGGAAAAAGTATCCAGCGGCCAAGCCGCCAGCTATTTTTCTCCCGACCGTTGAGGGTTTTAGTATACCGGCGGCCAGGCCGCCGGATCACTTCTTCCCGACCGTTGGGGAAATTGGAGCTGGCGGCCAGGCCGTCGGATCACATCTTCCCAACCGTTGGTGAAATTGAAGTTGGCGGCCAGGCCGCTGGCATTTTTTACAAAAAAATATTTCGTCGGCCTGGCCGCCAGAAATTTTCTCTCATTTACGAGGGAAAATTATGCAGGCGGACAAGTGTAACCTTCCGTCGGCCTGGCCGCCGGTCGTATCTACCGGCGGCCAGGCCGCCGGGAGATGGGCGCCAGAACTGCGCTGGTTTTTTGTAGTGCTTGTTGTAAAGATCCTGAAAAAAACATTGTGATTCATTTAAAAGTACTGATATACCTATGTCTTTTATAATCCTATATAATGAAATTAAATTTAGTTTGAAATCAGGAATATAATAGACATTTTTCAGAGTTATTGTTGGAGAAAATATGATTTCTCCAATTTGTTTTATTGAAAAACAACTTCCATCAGGTATTGAGACTCTTCTATTTTTTTTTGAATCTCTTAAGTTGCTAAAGAGTGACTTATTTCCACTCATGTGCTGTGAAGTACCACTATCACAAATCCATTGACAATTATATGAAGAATAAGTATTGCAAGCTAATTTATTTTAAAAAAAATTACCTGCATTTTTCATGAACAGATTCTGCATGATCTTGTACTCCTCATCGGTGATTGAATGAGTAGTTACTGAGCTTGCATGTTTTGTTTTAACCTTCTTAGTGTTGAAAGCATTAAATCCTTTACTTGAATCAGGATATCCATTAATGTGGTAACATGTATCTTTGGTGTGACCATAAAACCAGCAATGATCACATCTGACTTTTAAGTTTAATTTCATGCATTTCTTACTGATTTTGTATTTGTCTGAATTAAAAGGTTCACTTCTAAAACCAGAAGACATTTTAACAGCCATGACAGTATCTATTTGCCCCATATCAGAGTTATGTTTTGTGAAGGTTACCCCCCTTTGTTTTTCCTCAGTTATGACAGTTGAGTAGGCTGAATCCATATTGGGAATCTCTTTCCCAGTTAGTATCTAGCCTTTTACATTCAAAAATTCTTCATTCAAGCCAAGAAGGAATTTTACTACCTTATCTTGCTCATTTTCCTCTTCCCATATCTGAATTGCCCCATAAGTGCATCTTTTTTTTTTACTTATATCTTACAGGCTATCCCATATGGCTTTTAACTTGATATAATAATCAGAAACTGACATTTCCCCTTGATATAAATTGGCCAGTTCTTGGCCAATTTGGAACCTTAGAGGGGCTTGTCCTTGGCTATACCTTACTTTCAGTATATTCCATGCCTCAGTTGCACTTTCAGCTGACCTAATTGAGGCAGCTATGTTCTTTTCACATGCATTGATGATCCATGAAAAGACTACTCCATTAACAGTTTCCCAAGCCTCAAACTCATCCGAGTTTTCATCCTTAGGTTTAACTACTTTCCCATTAATAAATTTTTGTTTTCTTCTTGTTACAAGCCAAAACATCATATCTTTGGACCAAATAGGGTAGTTTGATTGCCCTTTTAGTAAATCATTGACAATCTTGTTACTAGGATTGCCACTAGAATGTAAAAAGTAAACTGATGACCTGGTCATGAAGGCGGTTTCCAGATCAAAAGGCTTTCTTTGCGCATCATTCGGTGTTGAAACTTCAGTTACAATCTCCATCTCAACATTTGCTTCTTTTTCCGAATCCATGTCCTTGACAGCACAAATGACTTCACTGGAACGGATGAATAGCAGCAGCGGAATCCCTAGGAGCGATCAATGATACCATATAAAGCAACGATGACCCAATTTCGACGACGAATGGCTGCAGAAGATTAGGTCAGTTGACCGGCGGGAGGAAGATTTGGGGAAGACAGTAACGGAAAAAACTAATCTTTGAAATGTGAAAATTGAATAACGTTGAATCGAATTGATTTTAATTGTAGTTTACACACAGTATTTATAACATCTATAACAAACTATTTTATTACATCCCTGAGTATTCTTTTATTTCAACCAAGTCCTTCGCGTTTAATTATTTAATTTTTTGCTTCTGGGCCGGTCCAATACTCTGGGCTTGAAATGTACCTTTATCCTTTTATCCTGTTTTAAAGAATCAATTAGTAATATATTTATCAAATGATTAAGATGTGATTAATGTTATTTATAACTTCCATTTGAAAGATGGTTTTATAATTAATAACGTCATCATTGTCTGTGTTGTATTTAAACTACTTTGTTTCATATGATTACTGATTGTCAATGTTTGGTTCTTGTCAGTGTCATTGTCATTGTCTCTGTTACTATTTCTTTCATAATTCATAGGCAAAAACTATCTAACAGCTCTACTCAAATAGATGACTTAAATTCATATGGAAGATTGTTCCTGGCTTCCTGCTGTGATGTCTTTTAAAAACAGAAGTTTGCAGCTCATTTTGGCATGGCACAATAGCTTCAGGCATAGCAACAGGAAATGCATCAACCAGGAATATATGACTGAAAGTTTAAGGTATCACCTTAAACTTAGAAATCTAGAAAGGACTGTAAATATTGTGGATTGGTGGACAAGAGTAGAGGTTTTAAAGAATATTCTACTTAAAACTCTTGTGATTCTGCTATTTTCAAAACTCTTGTTAATCTCAATTATATCTTATCGGATGATGACTCCTAGTTCCTGTTATGGATGGAGAATTGGCTCCTCAATCAGATATGGTGTTAGAATATTGGTGTGGTCTGAAACTTTTCTTCTGAAGAATGGACCAGAACTATCTTGATTAAGAACGTTTTGGGGGTGACAGGATTAAAGATGATCTTTCATTATAACCTTGGGTTACTTATACTGTTTATACATTCATAACAACTAACTATATAACAAAATTTAGTTGTAACTAATTATACTGACACGCCTCCCTCAAACCGGAGGAGGTGCTTCGACGAGTTTAACTCCTACATCCAGAAATGCTTTTGGCTTGACTGACTTCGTCGTTCTTTCTCGTACGAAATGTAGATCTATCGCTACGTTTTACCTTTAATTCTGTGAGCAACGATCTAATTGTCTCTAGTTTCTCGACCGTTGTTGCGATCGATACTCTGCTTTCATTCTGGAGCGCGTGAGCGTAAGTTGTTTTTGCGGAGACTAATTGACCATTGTTTCATCGAGATTGATTAGTATCCGTGTCTGGTTCTTTTGGTCTATGGTGTCTCCTCTCCGGTCCGAGTCACAAAACCTTGTTAACGTGAAGTCTGTGACCTTTGATAATGTAATTCCCATCGACTGTCTTCCGGTGAGGTATCGTAAAACCTTTTTCATCGCTAGCCTGTGAAATGATGTTGGTGAAGACATAAAGTGACCTTGCACGATTCTTTTTTTGAAACAAATAAAATTTTATTAAAAAAATAAGGACAATGCCCAATTTACACATAGTATAAAAATAAAAACATAAGTAAAAAAAAATAAACAAAAGTTCATTGACTCTCTCCCATTAGCTATGTTGTTTAGTTATACAGTAACTAGATACGCTGTCTCAGATTAGTCTCTTATACTTTCATCATAGATGTATTCAAAGGGTGACAACAACTCTTCTTGTAATATACTGAATCAAAGAAGAGCTGACTGATGTCTTTAATGACCCTTTAATATATCTGTAATATACTCAATCAGATATGGCTGGTACTAGGGTGTCAAATAAAACCCGGCTCGGCTCGCGAGCCCAACGAGCCGAGCCCGAGGCTCAAGCTCGTTTAGCTTAACGAGCCGAGCCCAAGCTTGGCATGTCCAAGCTCGGCTCGGCTCGTTAAGCTCGTGAAGGCTCGTTTGTAAGTATAAAAAATTAAAAAAAAAATTAAATTTATAGTTGGTAAAATGTTTGTTTAGTATATGAGAGGTAATGGGTTCGATTCCCCATGTCGCCAAATAATTATTTCTTTTAATTCGAGCTTAGGAAGTATAAAAAACTAAAAATATATTAAATTTAGAGAGAATGGAGGTATAGCACAGATGGTAAAATGTTTGTCAAGCATGTGAGAGGTCTCGGGTTCGATCCTCCATGTCTCCAAATAAAAATTTAATTTAATTCTCGTCGAGCCTGGGCTCGTGAGCCCGAGCCTGGAAAATCTCTGACGAGCCGAGCCCGAGTTCAGATGATATCTTAACGAGCCGAACCCGACTCTATAAGCAAAAGCTCGACTCAGCTCGTTTGACACCCTAACTGATACCAACAGAAGATTTACAAGCTCGGGATTTTGCCTTCCTTTGGTACATTAAAGCGGTATGTAAAAGGTGCCCCCTTCTCCAATTCTGCCTGTACTTCAGCATCTGTAGCAGTTTCCCATTTCCCAGTATACACGGGTGGTAATTTCTTTTGTTTTGCTATTTCCTTCATTTTCTCTAGTTCCTGAAGTAAAAATTTGTTTGGTATTTTTAACGAAACATCACATGCCAAAATAAAATAATGAAATGTCGAAAATAATACTTGAGTAAACACATGATTTAACTAGATTACTTAATGCCATTATTTTATCTTTCAGAAAGAAAGAAGAAAAACTATTTTTCTTTCTTTCAACCACTGTACAGTCTGTACTGCTGTGATATAATTATCTTGTGTGTGCACTATGCAATAAATTTGATATATATGATAGATGACGAAAGTGAATCCAGCTTACCTCACTAGAGCAAAAACACTTGTACACATGGCCAGAATCAAGTAATTTGTCAGCATATTTCTTGTAAAGAGAATTTCGTTCTGATTGTCAACTGGACCTGCAATTTCACAAATATCATTGGATTTATTTGTTAGATTGAAAAAATATCGACAAGAAGTTTAATGATACTGAAAAAGATCTGACAGAGCTTACTTCCCAATCAAGTCCGAGCCAGGATAAGTCATTTAACACAGTGTTGGTACCATGGACCATGGACCGCGGACCACGGCCCATGGACCGAACTAGGCTGGTCAGCGGTCCGGTCAAGTGGGCGGGCCCAACGCACGAGCCCACGAGGCCCAAGGACGACGGTGGAGGGCTATAAATATCTCCCCTGGTCCAACAGGGGATGGGGTTGATAATTCCAAGAAGAATACTTGTACCGCGGTTGTGAGCTTACTCCAGCGAGCCCACACTCCAACACACAACTTCCTCAGATTTCTTTGTGGACCTCTCTAAATCTGTATCTTCTATTCGTAATATGAATTTCCCACCTTTTGATCTATAAGAAAATAAATATATACAGACCGAAACAAAGTTTGGAACTGTTTTGTGCTTTACAAAACATCAATAGAATAACATGTTAACATCACTCAAAATTTCGAATTCGAATTCCTATCTGTAACATCAAATACTCAAATCTCCTCTCTAAACAATAAATCGATAATATCTAACACCACCAATAAACTGAGGAAAGAAGGAACTTTTTGAACTCAATCCTACTCTCAACAACTAAATGATCAAATCCAAATCTTAATTATCTTTTACCCAAAATTTAATTTTATATTTTACTAAATCAAAATCCCGCAGTGGGGAAACATTAACCCCACTTACACATACTTAAATCAAATTCAAAATCCAAACTCAACTCACTTCCCGATACACCGAACAGTCCAATTCAATCACTTCAACAACAAAAAGTAACCAAAATCAAACCTTGCGAATAGATAATTGAAGAGCGCAGTCCTGGCACCACCGACGTGCAAGTTCCCAGTAGGCGATGGGGCGAACCGGACCCTAATCTCATTTGCACCGGAGGCAGGGAAGGAAGATGCCGATACTGCACAGAATGTCCTTCTCCGGACAAGACGTAAATCCGGAAGAGACACTACCCTCAGCCACGGGGAGGAGGAGACCATTGACAGAGATGTCGCCATTATTTCTTCCTTCCCTGCTAATACAAAAGATAATGTTTGTTAATTGGTATTGGTGATTCTGTGAAGAAGATGAACTAAAGACCTAAAATTCGACCCGACATAGAAAAAAACCCGATTAAATCTATTACCGGTATTAAAAATCGATAACCCGAATAAATTGTATGACGTCACTTACAATTTCCGTACACGCGTATGCGAAATAATGAAATATTAAATAGGAAGATTTCAAAGTCAACTAATTAATCAACAACTCACCTTCTCTCTCTCGACAGGGGACCGGAGCCGAGATGATGACCGACGACGATGGCCGAATATCTCCGGTCGACCAATTGGAGGCGGAAATCAGCCCCTTCCTCTCACTCCAGAACCATATCTGGTCGTCAAGCAGGGATTCAAAGCAGTTCCTCCGTTCCATCGACATGCTTCTTCGCACGATCCCTAATCTCTCTCCATCTTACCTTGATCATGCCGAGGATTTACTCCAACGATCCATGTCCCGTCTCCGATCGGAGTTCAACTACCTCCTTTGCGACACTCTTTCGTCTCCCGCTGCACTGGATGATGAACCCGAGGACCCCGACCTCCCGATTCCCGTTGCGCAGCCCGTTCAGGACTTCAACGTCGTCATTGATGCACTTCCGGGAGGGAACATCCGTGATCTCGGGGATATCGCCAAGAGGATGGCGGCAGCGGGATTTGGTCAGGAATGCGCCAACGCTTATAGTATATCCAGGAAGGATTTTGTGGAGGAAAGCGTTTCCAGGTTAGGGGTTAGGGTTTTTAGTACTTCGCAAGTCCAAAATATGGAGTGTTCGGATCTAGATCTTGAAATCGAACGGTGGAATCAGGCTATCAAGGTTGTTTTTCACATCTTGTTCCCCAGTGAACGGAGGCTCAGTGATAGGGTTTTTGCGGGATTAGCGCCGATTGCGGATTTAGGGTTTGCAGATGCTTGCAGGGAGACGGCAGTGAATTTCCTCCGATTCGCTGCAGCTGTGGCAACCGGACAAAGGGTACCCGAAAAGCTGTTCAAAGTTGTACGCATGTACGAGACGTTGAAGGAATTGTTGCCGCAGATTCATGTGGTATTCGAAGATCAGTACTGTGAGTATCTGGTAGAAGAGTACGATCTTTGCTGGATGAATTTAGGACAAGCAGTGAGGGATATCTTTGTTGAGCTTGAGAATCTGGTGAAGAGGGATCTCCCCAACAGACCTTTGCCCGGCGGGGGAGTTCATCCGATCACAAGATACGTGATTAATTACTTACACGCCGCATCTTTCTTCTGGAGAATCCTACAGGAGATCATGGAGGACTCCGCAGTGCCTGCAACTTCTGTGGACGAACTAAGACCATCTTCGTCACTGTCTGCTCAAATTGGGTGGATCATGGAGAGACTGAATCAGAATTTAGAGGAGAAATCCAGAGCATATGATAATGAGGCTCTTAGCTTCGTCTTCCTGATGAACAATGGGCAGTACATTGTGGATAAGTTAGGAAGCTCTGAGCTGAAGATGATGCTTGGGAATGAGTGGATTAGAGGTCAACATTCAAAGATCAGACAATGGTTAGGCATGTATCACAAGAGGTGTTGGGCTAAGATGATTGCTTTGATTCAGATCAGCAGTGAGGGACTAGGATCCGTGCTTGCAGTTAAGTCGAAGCTGAAGTACTTTAACACTTACCTTCAGGACATACGCACTGAGCAGAAGGGTTGGGTGATCTTGAATGACCAGTTGAGAGACAAGATAAGATCATCTACTGTCGACTATGTTATTCCAACTTATTCCAGTTTCCTCGATCGGGCAAGGAGGGAGTTGGGTCGAAGGATGGATAACACTGTGAAGCACAGCCCTGATGATGTTGAAGCATGCATTAGAGAGCTGTTTGTTGTCGCTACTCGACAAAAACCTCCTAGGTGAATGAATCATCTCCTAATTCCTCCAAGTTTGGGTAAGTATAATCAATCCATCCACCATTACCTATGTAAATGCTCTTACTTTGTGATTGAGATATTAAATTGGTATGCTCTCAGGTTTCATGACCCGACTTCCGGTGTGATTTCACTTTTCACCCTTTTTTAATGCTGTCCAAATAGCAAAGGTCTGTACTTTTCACTTTTTTAATGGCTGCAGAAGATTAGGTCAGTCGGCCGGCGGGAGGAAGATTTGGGGAAGAAGAGAGTAACGGAATAAACTAATCTTTGAAATGGGAAAATTGAATAACGTTGAATCGTATTGATTTTAATTGTAGTTTACACACAGTATTTATAACATCTATAACAAACTATTTTATTATATCCTTGAGTATTCTTTTATTTCAACCAAGTCATTCTGTGAGCAACGATCTAATTGTCTCTAGTTTCTCGACCGTTGTTGCGATCGATACTCTGCTTCCATTCTGGAGCGCGTGAGCGTAAGTTGTTTTTGCGGAGACTAATTGACCATTGTTTCATCGAGATTGATTAGTATCCGTGTCTGGTTCTTTTGGTCTATGGTGTCTCCTCTCCGGTCCGAGTCACAAAACCCTGTTAACGTGAAGTCTGTGACCTTTGATAATGTAATTCCCATCGACTGTCTTCCGGTGAGGTATCGTAAAACCTTTTTCATCGCTAGCCTGTGAAATGATGTTGGTGAAGACATAAAATGACCTTGCACGAATCTTTTTTTGAAACAAATAAAATTTTATTAAAAAAATAAGGACAATGCCCAATTTACACATAGTATAAAAATAAAAACATAAGTAAAAAAAATAAACAAAAGCTCATTGACTCTCTCCCATTAGCTATGTAGTTTAGTTATACAGTAACTAAATACGTTGTCTCAGATTGGTCTCTTATACTTTTATCATAGATGTCTTCAAAGGGTGACAACAACTTTTCTTGTAATATACTGAATCAAAGGAGAGTTGACTGATGTTTTTAATGACCTTTTTAAGAACTACCTCAGAAGACTTACTAATGTGTTGTCTGTATCTTTTATTTCTCTCCGTCCATATATGTTACGACAATTACTCAATAACATTCTATAGTAGCCCCCAAGGGGGAGAGTACTGATGCGTAATTTTTTGTGCAGCTTCCGTCAGATCCCCCAATCTAATATCTGAACTGGATTCAGTGAAAACTGAAATATTCATTATTTTTCAGAATGCGAGGTTCAGGTGCTCATCCACGGAATTAAGAGAGATTTGTAATAAAA